CTGGTTATTGATAAGCATTATATTTTCCAAAAATCGAATTATATCGATAACAAGCCTTGGGAATTTAAGCATATTTTGTTCATATTAAGAGTTAGGGTGACCAAATTTGTTAATTAGCTGCTCGTTTCATAAATGCAAAAGCTATTAAAAACAATGAGAAAATATTGAGGCAGAGGCTTGCAGATGACAGAAGCTGAGCCCCAGTAAAGGGTATATTCTAGTCTGGCCATCTTGTCAACATGATTTGATTTCTTTTGTTTCTATTGCTTTGCGAAGCTGCTTTGTCTTTTAACTGAATTTTAAGCTGTGTTAGCCTGGCGCTGTATTGGCATCAATCATTTTTTGTACTTTATTTTTTGCCATAGCTTCAACCTGTGCGCATAACCACCGCAGTGCCACCCAGCCTAGACCCCCCCCCCCCTAACCTCTCCCCCTAGCCAGCCTCCTTCGAAGAGAGACCGTGTTACCGTTGGGGCCGCACAATGGATCTGGCGAATATCTGCGGTTCGGTCACTTTCGATTATGCGAAATACATTTGGCAGTTGGTAGCCAAAATAATAATCTTTCGACTGTCTGTCGGCCACACAATTGGCTGGGCTCCAAATGGCGCCCCTCTAAACGCGTCGGGCCCCCTCCCGCTGCCCCTGGCTTTGGCGCGTGGTTGGCCCTGACCACAGCCAACTTCCACAATTGTGGCACAATTTGAACGCAAAACTGGCCAAATTATGTTAAATTTGTGTAGAAAACAGTAGATAATTGGTAATTGCCTTCATTCCAATGAGACCCGCTGCCCCCTCCTCACTTAACCAAAAGACCGCCACCTGCCCCTGGTCTGTGCCCACAAGAATCTAGATGTACGAACGTATTTTAGTCGCTCAGCCTTGTGTGGCCTTTGGGCGTTAATTGAAGAAGGCATAATTTGAGGCTGAAATATATTTAATCTCGGTTTTGCTTTGTGTAATATGTTGGCCAATTAGACGCTTGCCTAAGACTTGGTCAATGGCATTTGGCTTGAACTCTTGCGAAAATAGCTAAACTAGCTAAAAAACTAAAGACTCGATGTGCGAGTTGAGACTAGAGCAAAGCCGATGTTGCATGCGTGAATGCCATAATAAACTTTAAATATATCTAACGTGACGGCAAAAAAATTAAGGAATTAATTCAAGATGTCTAAGCTGAAATATATATTTAATTGGAGTTCTATGTGAAAGACGATACATGGTTATTTAATTACAATATTGTGTTCTACTAGTAAATAGTCGAATTATGATTGCGATTAGCAAAAAACAAGGTCTGCATAAAGAAGCTTAGTTAGCATGATGGTAAGGTTTTCAAAAAATGGTCTAGTTTCCTTGAAGATCTTTAACGAATTGCCAAAAGAAGATTCTGCTCAGTATCTGCCATCTTATTTCAATCTATTTAAGTTGATGATGAGTGAACTTACCCCTTCCATGCTCCTTTGGGTCTTTTTCTGGTTCTTTCTTAAGAGCATGTTGATCAAAAGCTTGGTATCCATATAGTAAGAGACTGGCGGTGCCAGCTGATGAGCCCACGACGAACTGCTTGGAATGCAGCGAATGTTATTTAATGGGAAACCAATCGCTGGCATCGTTTTTCCCCATTTCCCCATTTCCCGGTAGCAATAATAGCATAAATCCAGGTCACTTGCACCTCGCACTGATTACAGAGTAGCCGGAGAGCCATGCACATGGGCTGGCAGCTGGCAGCTGGCGGCTGCCTCTTGGCCGGGTTCATCCGAAAAATGTGGCACAGCCCGGGCAAATGAAGCAACACATTATGATAACGAGCGTGCTTAAAAAAGAAAATCAAGGAGCAAGCCGCAAAATATGAATACCTCGAGTAGGGCTCTGGCCCGAGTCTGAGCAACTGTTGATTATGTGCCAGTTGCCCAAATGGCCCAGTTCCACGCCCCGGCTGCGGACCCTATAAATGCGCATCAGTGCGCACATTAGGCCAGCCCGGAGAACCGTTAAACGCTGCTAGATCTGGTAGGTAGTATCCATGCTTGACTTTCCAAAAGACGCCACAGCCCCCCCCCCCCCCCCCCCCCCCCCCCCCCCCCCCGAAACGGATGCAAATGTAGACACAAGCCGAAGGCGAACCGAAATGTGGCCAAGAGTCGAGAGTTGAGCATCGAGCGTCGGCCTCCCTCTGCCAGCCTGCTGCTGGCTAATGGCACAATTATGGCAACGAAATCAAAGCAGTCAACGGAAGACGTGAAAAGCGCTCGAATGGAATCTAGCCGAAGGATATCACGCGTATCCCATTGATCCATGAAGACCTAGACACAGGCCCTCGCAGCCGCGTCTAACTGTTGTTCATAACTTGGCTGAGTGATTGGGCAGAGCTGTGCTGAGCCGAGCTCTTTTTCTTTATTTTCGACTGCAACTGCAACTGCAACTGCAACCAGGGGGCAATCAGTCAGCAGATGTTTTCATTTCCTACAAACGAACCAAGCTAAGTGAGCACCCAGCTAACTTGCATCCAAAGGTAGCCAAACGCTCGCCTCGCTCGCGCAGATGTTGGCTGTGGCACAGTTTCGTGTAGCAAATTGCGCACAGTGGGCCGGCCCCGGGTCCCCTGCTATTGAGTACCGGGTATTCAGTCGTCCCCGACCCCCCAGCTGCAGCCCCGCCGTCAGCTGCAGATGGAATCAAATATTGTGCAAACTACAACAAGAGCATCGTTCAAGTCCAACGGGCGCCTTTTTTTTCTTACTTCTTTCTTCTTCTCTAAGTCAGCGAGTCAACTGTGCCGTTGAAGTGCTTATACCCATTGAAAAATGCTGAATCAGGGTATGATAAAACAAAGCAAAGCTTGGCAACAAAACAAGCCTTGTTCATTTAATCTACATATAAGCTAAGTCGAGTCCTTCCCTTTCAAGTCTTTTTTCATTAGAGAATATAAGATACAATATTTAGAAAATTTGGATTTAATTTTGTAGAAAAACCAAGAGCACATAATATGATTAAATTATGATTGAGCTTAAGATCATAAAAGGGAGAAAAAATATTTGGAAAAGTTGCAAGGAAAAGAGAAAAATGCAATTTTGAACAACATTAAAAACTTTTTTAAGACCTTATTTTTTTCATAAAATATAAGGTAAAATAGGCTAGAGGAGTCTCCGAATTTGAATTTGGCAACTATGTATTACATTAGACTTTCTAAATTCAATTGCCAAAAAACACGTTTACTTCGACTATAGTTAAAAGCACTTGTACAGGGCATCTGCCAGTCGAGCATACGCGTTTCTTAGCTCTCTTATCGAGCTGCTGCATTTGTGTCTGTGTGTCTGTGTCATGCGCCTGGCACACGGCCTGTAACTAAATCACACTAATCAAGCCCCAAGTGCTGCTCCAGCAACAGCTCCAGCTACACAGCTTCAGTTGAAGCGGGAGTTGCAGTTGAAGCTGGAGTCGGAGCTTAACGCTGAAGCTGAAGCTGAAGTTGGCGGTCTGGAGCTATCAGCTGAAGCGCTGCTCGTGCCGCTTGTCGTCGCCCCCGAGAGCGTGGCAGACGCGGAGGACGAGAAGGAGGACGACAAGGAGGAGGAGGAGGAGGAGAAGCGTCGAGTGATCACTGAAATTGGCAAATCAAAGCAATTGATACATTAAATTACAATGCAGACGATTTGTTCACGATTCCACGCCTCGTGCCTGAGTTTTTCTACCCTCTTTTTTTGGCTACATCCACGCAATGCAACAAATTTATCGCCAGGCAACGTTGTTGTTGCTGTTGTTGTCGCCTGTTGACTGGTGTCATCGTCAACGTTTGCCCAAATGCCACAACAACAACAAACAACAACAAACAACAGAATGTCTTTTGGGGCCAACACACGCCATTCAACACCCATTACGAGCCTCAATTGTTGTGTGTGTGTGTGTGTGTGTTGCTGCTCCGTTGCAGCGATGCGTGGGCTTAAATTATGTTGGAAATGTCATCGTAAGATTCAACACGACAACAAGGGATGACATAAATTTCCACCAACATCATGTGTGTGTTGCCACATGAGCGACGTGCCAGATCCAGCTCCAGCTTCAGCTTCAACCTCAGCGCCACAGCCAGCCAAAAATGGCAACAGTTGTTGCACTTATTGTTGTTGTTGCTATTTCAAACTGGAGCTGGCCAAGTTAAGATCGGTCGGTGCAGCACTCAAACTGGAGCTCCATCTCCAACTCCAGCTCCAGCTACACATATCATTGCTCTATCAGTTGAGATCTCGGCGATTGCCAGAGTCAGAGTCAGAGCCAGAGCCAGAGCCAGAGCCTCGACTCGACTCGAACGCTGGCAAAGGAGGAGGCGGTCGCCAAGACGACGACAAAGACAAGACCCAGTGCATATCTAGGCATCCACATGCAGCCACATGCCACATGGCATATGCCACATGGCACATGGAGGGCGGATTTGTAATTTGAGACTATAACTCAATGTCGGATTCTTTGGCAACGATTTGTGGCTTATGAAACTTTAATTGAGTTCGAAGACTTAACACGTTTTTATATTATTTTATTTTTTTAAATATTTTTGAAAATTTTATTTTTTTTTATAATTGTTCTAAATATTAGTTAAGCATATATTTTGTGAACTATTGTTATTATTATTATTACTATTATTATTATTATTATTATTATTATTATTGTTATTATTATTATTGTTATTATTATTATTATTATTATTATTATTATTATTATTATTATTATTATTATTATTATTATTATTATTATTGTTATTATTACAATTATTATTTTTTTTCATTTATATTATTATTTATATTTATATTATTATTTGGATACCATCCTTTCTCGTTCTTTAACTTTCTCTCTCTCTCTCTCTCGCTTTCTCTCTCTCTCTTTCTCACTCTCTTACCCCTTTTCTATTAATTTAACATATTTGCTTTCTTCTGCCTTTATTCGCTTTTCAATTTACTTGAAACTTCTCAAACTCCCCATTCGTCAGCCGCAGCATCATCATCAGCATCGATGCGGCCTTATGTAGTGCAAGATCTGGCCAGCAACGAGCTAAAAAACGGATCAAAAAACTACACACTTACACAAACATACGAATCAGAGTCGAGTGCAGAGTCAGAGCCAAAGCTAGAGACTCGGCTCCGTCTGCCCGACTCAGAGTTTGGCTGTGGCTGTAGCTCGATCTGCGGCTCCAACAGCATCATCTACTATCCTAAGCTATCCTCTGCTGGTATCCCATACAAGCCCATACGCCTGGCTTTTGGCTGTCGCTGCAAAGGTGTTTTGCAATTTAACTGGCAACGCGGCAGCACCCAAAAAGCAGCCACTCTTCTGGCCTGGGCCATGGATCTAGCCCGGCTGGGCCGTTCGTTTCGTTTCTGTGTGTGGCTTCTTTGGAGCGTGGAATGGGAGAGGGGGGAGGGGGCTAGCAAGGGGATGGGAAGGAAGAGGGAGGGGGGAGGGGGGTGCAGCAATTCACATGCCACATGGCAACATAAGTAGGCGCGTGGCATTCGTGTGTTGTTGTTACTATTATTGTTGTCGATTATTGTTGTCGTTGTTGTCGTTGTCGTTGTTGTTGTTGTTGTTGTTGTTGTTGAACAACAACGTAAAATGACAATAAAATGCAGGCAACACAGCAACAGCAAGAGCAACAACAACATGGAGAGAGAAAAAATAGGCGAATGCCAAATCCAAATTGAATGCAAATGAAAGCCACAAACTATGCTAAATTCCTGAAATCGCATCGGATTGGCAATTTGTGCTTTCCTTTCCTAACATCTATGTCTCTCTGTGTGTGTGTGTGTGAGTGTGTTTATGCAGTTGCAATTGCACTCGAAGGCCTCTTGCTTTATTTAGTTAGTTAGAGCTTGAAGTTGAGATACTTACGTTATGCAACTCTCCTCAGTCCGGCTGATTGCCCTGTGGAGGCTTCTTCCATTGCAAATGGACTCTCCCTCTCTCCCTGTCTCTCACTCTGTTATTATATGGCTCAGATCGAACTAACTAACCTAATGAACGTAGCTGTAAACGTTACTTGAAATTGCATTGCTCGATTACAAAGCAAGTTCAACTATTTGATGGGCCCCAATTCACGATGCCAAATTATTGCATATCATGAATAAACAATAAACAATTCAAGAGATTATTATTGAGAGCATATTTATAACATAGAAGATATCAGTTGTAAGACCTATAATCCATAAGATGTAACAGAAGATATAACATATAAAAATTAAGCCTTGCACGATATTCCTCTGGATAGTATATTATATACTAAAACGGCATAGATCTGACTCAATGCGGTTCGAAATCTAATTAGATTACATATACACTTATTTCTTATTGGACTCGTGGGAAGTTTGTTAAAAATATTATTTGAAAATGTTTTCAAACTGAAATTCAAAATTTTGTTTTGCAATTTCTTATAATTGTTAATAGAAGGGGTAAATATGCTGGAAAAATATCAGGTTGGTCTTTTCTGTAAATTAATTCATTAACGTCTTAGAATTCTTAAAATTAGTATGAAATTTGTTTCGCTCGATCTAATCTCTCTAAATTTCCCATCGTCATTCGATTATGCAAAACTGTTTATTAGAAATTAGTTGAGCATTTCAAATGTTTCTTAATTATTCCAGAATTTTGCCGCCTGCTCGACTAACTATAAGTTCAAATTTGTCATAGGGCCCAAATGCAAAACAATTGCCTAGAAATGAATTGTAAATTTCTAATATCTATTTATAGCACCGTGAGCTGTTCTAGAATTTCGTCGCAAGATTTATAGGGCCCAAATACATTCACATATGCAAATGCAGCCGTTGGCTGGCCCCAAGTTCCTGCATCCGTTAACCGATCTCGGGGGTCGCCCACATGGGTTTGGGTTAATTGCGAGCTCAGCTGAGTGTCCGGCACTTTCCGGCTTTGAGCTAGTTACTCCTCCGTCCAATCAATTTCTGTGCATGTGTGTGTGAGTGTGTTTTACTTGGGAGCTCTGACACATTTCGCTCTGCACGCAAAATGAAATAAATCATTTGTCGTATGTCGGATTTCATGTCGAAATGCCCATTAAATAACATTTCTACATCTATTGAGAGAGGGTCATAAATAAATTGCAAAAAAATAAATGCAAGCCAAAAAAAAAAAAACAAAAAATAAATAAAAGCAACAACCGAAAGCCGGAAAAAACTATAACGCAACTATAACTATAGCTATGTGTATATATAAGTATATATTTTTTGAAAATCGGTTCAATGGGGTATTTCGTTTATGTGCAAGTGCTTGAGACAGGCAGAAGAAAACATCTCGGGGAACTCGGGACATCAAATTCGGATATATATTCTTCGTTCGCAGAACAAACTCAAAATTATCGATATCTGCTTGCACTTCTATAGTATCGATAAATATCGATTGTGGGACTTGGTTTATTTTAAGCATAATTAAAAGATAAGAAGGGAACTCGGGACTTGAAATTTGAAGTATTTATTTTCCAATCGCAGAACGAATTCCTCGTTTATTGTTCGATAACTGCTCAAATTTCTATAATATCGATAAACATTGTTTTGAGACTGGTCTTTTTAGGCATAACTCGACGATTATAAGCGAATTCGGGACTTGAATTTGGAATATATAATTTCCTACACTATGCGCAGAACAATTTTATCATTATTTATTCGATATCTGCTCTCATTTTAAAAACATCGATAAATATCGATTTTGAGCTTTGAGTTTTTAGGCATAGCTCAAAGATTACACCAAAATTGATGTTGAGTGTCTTTTGTAGTATCTGCGGATTAAACATATTTCACTTTTTGCCTGCCTCTATTCGTTCCACCCGAAATTGGCAAGAAATGACTTTGTAAAGCTATTGTTATGCGCTCGGGTATGTGTACACATTTGAATGCAATTTTCAAGTCCTGAAAATTTCATTAAATTCGGACCACGAGCACCGAAGTTAAGCAAGATTGCTTTTACTATAGATATAGATAGCGACACAGACAAGAAGAAGCACAGAAGCGGCATAGCGAATGTTTGATGCGTGAGCAGGGCATCTGCTGGTCGAGCATAGCCGACTCGAGATCGATTTTATTTTTGCCATATTTTTTCAATACAATAAAAACAACAACTCATCATTGAAGCGGTCAGTCGGCGATACAAAACGCCTAGCTGCGGATATTTATATGAATATATATAAAATATATTTCTATATATATATATTTGTGTGTGTGTGTGTGTGTGTGTATCGGGCAACATATTGCGGCGGCACCTAATATAGAAAAACAAATTTAATTTAAATTACAGGCGTGGTCGCTTGGCCGCACTCAAAGCTCTCATTGTGCAGTACGAGTTGTTGTTGTTGTTGCTGTTTTAGTTGTTGTTTTAGTTGTTGTTTTAGTTGTTGTTGTGCATAAAATATGCAATAATCTACCATAGAGGCGCGCGCTCGCAATATACTTAGATAAAGTTTAGAGGTCGACTTCGACTTTGACTTTCTAATTTATTTATGCGTCGTCGTCGTCGTCGTCGTCGTCGTGTTGCCATTTTGTTCCTAGGCCAGAAGCTGGCGCATGATTTGCGGCACATGATGCGTTAACCGGGCCCAAATCAAATCGGACAGCCGCACGGCTTCCAGATGAGTTGGCCAACCGGCCAGCTAGAGCAAGGGACAACAGCCAACACCCAGCAACAATTGCAAACTTGCTGCCAAAGTCGAGAGCGACCAACGAGGAGGTGGGTCCACGCCCCAAACGAGTCGCGCAGCTGCGCTGAGTCTGAGCCGGAGTCGAAGCCGGAGCCTGATCTGGATTTGGTTGCGGTTCGGCTTACGACGACAAGACTTCAATTCAATTTGTCGAGCTGAGCTACAACCAATTTTAATTAAAATGCGACAAAAACCAAATGCAAATTTGACACAGACAACAAATGAAGTTGTAGTTGAACAAACTCTCAGAGAATCAAAGGGCAGGCCAAATAAAAGTCAAAGCTAGACTTGGCACTGGGCACCAAGGTTTATCGAAGTATTAATACGCTAACAGCTATACCCCGTATTTGTATATAAGATATATATATATATACATAAGAGACTATCCAATTCAATTTGACTAAAACACTGAAAAGCCTTCTTATAACCAGAACCAATTGAAATTGGATATAAGGGGTATATTGGTTTTGAACTATAAACATATATCGATCTGTACTCGATCTAGCCATGTCTGTCTATCTGTCCGTCTGTCTGTCTGTCTATCTGCACGTCTGTCTGTCTGTATATATGACCACGTCGATCTCAGAACCTATAAGCGCCAGAGATCTCGGAATCGATAACTTGCTCCATCGCCAAGCAATCGATAAATTTCGATATCGATGTGCTCTTGCTTGAGCAAATCTCTTAAGTTTTAAGAGCTAGCGGCGCCAAGTTCGACATCTTGATATACGGATCAAGTATCTGCCAGATATAGCTGAAGTTCCCCACGCGCCCCCTTTCAAGAGCTGCACTCGGTGTTGGTGGAAGCAGGTGCAGGGTATCCGCTAGTCTTACTTCTTTTCATATGTTACAATATAACATATATTGTTTTAATTTGTGGATATTTATGCAAAGTATTATATAACAATTTAAATAAAATGACTTTCATATTTAACATTTTTTATAGCTCATGAAATTTTTATGTATTTTGTCAAAAGGTTTTGGGCTGATTATAAATAATTATCTTTCACTTTTTGTCGAGCCGCCGTTGTCGAATTCATTATTTGTTCAAAATGTATATATATGCTTTGCTTTTAAGATTTATTTATTTATATGTGTGTATATTCGCCTAATCTCGCCAGCCAATCGCAACAAATCGTAATCTGCCTCTGCAAAACAATTTTTGTGCTTTTCGATTTTTATATTCGATTAAATTGTAACAAGTGCCAGCCCACATATCGCTTTACTTTTCCGTCGCACAAAAATCAAAAACAAAAAAAAAACCAAGGGGGATAAAAAGAAAAATCATTTACAAATTTATTGCTAATATTTCATGTTATGTGTCGTGTTGCATAAATACAAAAAGGCCAGCCCCAAAGACCCAGTGCAACATGTGATATCCACGGCAACAACACAACAACCACAACAACAACAACAACAACAACAAACGATTTTCGCTCGTTGTTAATTGCAAACTTTTGCTTTTAATAGCGACAACAACAACAACAACAAAATGGGATGAAAAAAAAAGCAAGCAAAGAGCAGAACACAAGCCAGAGAACGTTGAACAGCGGCGCAGGCTGAGAGCAGCGAGGCCTCGACAAATGGAGTCCACACACACACACACACAAACACACAGAGGCGAGTGCAAGCAAAGCCAGAACTGGCGCTAACGGTAATCGGCAGCGCAGTCAACGCCAGCGTCGCAGTCGACGCAGCTTTACTAACAACGCCGTTATGGGCAGTAGCCAATGCAGCAACAGGCAGTTGCCTGGGCGGGTGCCCACATCAGGCATACGAGAGGGACACACACACACACACACACACACACACTCAGCTGTCAGACAGTCGCTTAGTCAGAAAATTGTATCAAAGGCCGCTGCCGAGAGACAGCAGCAGCAGCAGCAGCAGCAACGAGCATTGAGTCGGTTGCCCAAGTCTTTTGTTTTTAGCATTGAGCGTGACTCGTTCGTTTTTTTTTTTTTTTTTCTGTTTCTGTTTCTGCATTGTTGTTGCTGCTGCTGCTTTTGGTGTGTTCGCTGTTGTTGGGCGACGTGCACGAGACCAGCCGTTGGCCGAACACAGCCGACCACTGGCGACTGCAGCAGCGACGCCGGCAGCGACGCCACCACACCCTTGACTGGATTGCAAAAAAAGAAAAGACAAGACAAGAAATAATAATAATAAAGAGTAGAAAAAAAAAATAGAAAAATAGTTGACTGCGCTGCATTCGCGTTGGTTTTGTGTTTTCCTCAGCTGCTTTGGCATTTTGTTGCCGTTCGCCGTTCGCCGTTTGCTGCGCGGCGTCAATTTGCTTTAAGCCATTTCGCGCTCGCCGCCTGGACTTGCTCCTTTTGTAATTGTGCGCAACTGCAGCCGCACTCGCAGTCGCAGCGCAGTCGCTGCGCAGCGCTTGCTATTTTGATCGGCTGCAGCGGTGCTATCTATCGGTCCGGTTTTTTTGCTTTTTGACTCTTGGGGTGATTCAAGTTTCGCCTGCAATCGCCCGCCTGGCTGCCTATTTTTTGTTGTTCGTATTTCGGATGGCCGCAGCGAAGGCGGCCACAGTTGGCAGCTGCAGTGGGGCGTTAATGTGCTTTGCTATTTTATTTATTCATGCCAAGCATCTAAGCTAGTAAATTGTATTGCTCGGACCTCAACTCGGACGGGGACGCGGACACCGCGGACATCGCTGTCGCTGTCGCAGTCGCAGTCGAACTCGGGCTTGGCTTTGCGACAGCGACCGCATTGCAGGCCAGCAGCAGCTTTTGCTTTTCTTTGGACCACAACAACAACAACAACAACAACAACAACGTCGACGACGACATCAGATTGTCATTCTTGTTTTTTGCTTCTTTTTTAATTGAAAGTCGCCAGGCGTAGTTGATTATACACTAACCCAACAGAGTCGCCCAACTAATTCAAAATGTTTGTCAAACTGAATTTAATGACAGCTAATTTTAGATTCTTAAATGTGCCTCAAGAGTAAAAACTTGTTAATGAAGACTTTAACATACATCAAAATAAAATTTAGGTAAAAGTATAATAATTGAATAATATTATAATTCAGAGTCAATATATATTTCAATTTAAAAATATAAAAGTCTTGCATCTTTTCTTTAAACTGAAAATTAATTAAATTAAACGAAAACTTTTAAATAAAAATTAGGGCAAAATATAATGAATAAATAAAAGTAAAATTCAGAGCCAACACATATTTGGGTAAAAAAAAAAAAACAAAAATAAACATATTCAATTTAATGGTACACCAAACTTTTAAGTGAAAATGAAGTACAATTTCATTGAAAGAATAAGAAGAGAAGTGTGTTTCAGGGGAAAAATAATTTTATTTTTAAAAAGAAAACTTTAAAAAACAAAATGTGTCTTTCTTGAAATAAGCATACATATAAAGAAATTGATTACAAAGGAATTATATTATATTTAAACAATTTTCTAGTCTCAGATTTGAGCTATATTATAAGAATTTTTATAAATTATGTCAATTTCTTTAGCTTAACATTGCTTTTAAGTAAACGCATTAATTTATTGTAAGACTTAAGTTGAGCTAGATTTGAAAGAGTATCCCAGCGTCGTCTTGTATCGCACGCCAAGCTAATGCAGCTTGTGTGTTGTCTTTTTGCGCTGTTTGCACTGTCATTAATTTGTTGCTCTAATATTTTGTAAAAATTGGTTTAGTTTGGGGCCGAGCTGGCTGCCCTGCTCCGCTCCGCTCCTCTGCTGCTGCTCTGCCGCTGCTCTGCTGCTCTGGTGGACAGCTGGCACTGGATTCACTTTTTAATGGCTGCGTGGAGCGCGGACACATTGAACGGACAGGCAGGCTCTCGAGCTTGAGCTCTGTTGTTGCACAATTGCGGATATGAATGAGTAATCCGTGGGCTTTGGCTTGATATATGTCCGTGGCAGATATGTACATATATATATGCATATAGAGCCCCAATGGGCGCACACGTGTCGTATACGTAACGCGACGATTCTTATCGAGCTGCACGTGTTGGCCAATTGTCACGTTACGTAATTGTTATTTGGCTCAGCTTAATTTTCGCACACATTTTCGAACAGCTTCCAGCTGTGCCACAGCCAAAGTTCACACCCGTCGGAATCACCCACGTTCCATGTCCAGCTGATGCTGCAACTTCTGCTGCTGGGTGATTCATGGTGTCGCCGTGTCAGCTGCTGGCGGGACGACTTCTGCTTCTGCTCCGTCTCCTCCACCTTTAGCTTCTCCTCCAGCAGCTTTAACTGGCTGGCCTGACGTCTTCTATGCCTCCTGGCTCTTCTCCTCCAGCTGGCTGGCACGATGACTTCTGCTCCTGCTCCAGCTCCAGGTTCTTCCCCTCCTTCTGTTTCTAGCTTGTTGGCACGACGACTTCTACTCCAGCCGCAGCTTCTGCTCCTCAAGCTCTTCCTCCTGCTCATCCCTCCTCATCCCTGTCTCGCTTAGAATTCGGTAGTCGTTAAAGCCACCGTCGGCGATCTTCGACGAACTTGGCCGCATCGTAAAAGCCACAACTGCAGATCTTGCACGCCCATAAAAAGCGCCCACTTAAGATCTCGACTGCGTTCCAAATCGCCGACGGTATTTATTTTTATTTTTTTTTTAATACTGCTTTCGTTTCGCTTAGCCATTGTTGTTATGGCCTTTTAGTTATGTGGCAACAAGTGTGTGCACATGTGTGTAGACATGCGTGTGTGTGCGTGTGTGTGTGCTCTCTTAGGGTCTGGCAGTTAAATAGCCTTTGGGCAGCTTCAGATTGAGAAGAGTTGCGTCTGAACTAAGTCAAATAACTATTGGCAGGCAGTGTTTAGTAAGTTCTTTAATGTTGAAGGATTACTGAGCATTTAGTTTTTGTAAGATTTTTGTAAGATATTTTTACAGAATTTTGCACGTCAGAAAAAGTTTAAAACTATATCAAAAAGAGATCTGTAATTTGTTGTCAACATTTAAAAATAAAAAATATTTACAATCAGTTCCTTTCGTATAGCTGAACTTTCCTCAACTCTGTTGACTTTCATAATTTTCGACTTTATAGTCCCAATTTGAATTCTAGATAAATTCTGATTATTTATAGCCAAAATAAATATTTATGTTAATTAATTAATATTTAAAAATTGATTTTAATTTCAAGCAAAAATCGGGTGCCGTAAGATTATTGAAAGTCATGCCATTTAATAGTCGCACTTAATATGCCCGAGATATTAAAAACAAATCATTATTAATTTTTGATTAAAATACCAATCCGTTTTCTGTCAAATTTGAAAAATGTGGAAATTGCCTTTTCAGTGACAATTTTTCTGCATAAGTTCAAAACGGTTTTCTTTTGCAAAATCAGACTTTATTCAGCCGAGATATTCCAAAAAAACTTCTGGATTAAAATGGTCCTACTCGGCTTTCTGCTTCCCTAACTTTGTCAAAGCTTAACCGATTTGCAGAACTGATAATATTGAGAAATCTAGAAGCAAAACAAAACTGTGGATATAAAATTTCTTGAGTGCAAATTATGAATTCCTCTAAAATGGAAAACCATTTTTTTCTTCCTATGAATATCTATATTTTATTAGTTGGTTTCTTTCCTTACAAAATGTACACAAAATGTACTTAAATTTATTTAATAAATATTTGCATTAGTTATTTTTGTAATAAACACAAATTAACATAATCTTAAGTTTATTTTAAATGCTTGAATTCATTTAATTTAAATTTGTTAGAAAGTTGTACTTGGCGCTGAAAAAGCTATAAAAAACAAATTGGCAACAAATTTGAATTGAATTTGAAATAGTTAAGATTTGCGATTATGGCAGAAAGATTGCACAAATTTGTATGGCTAGAAAAAACACGCATTAAAATAAAATACGAGGCAAAATGTTCTAGGTTTCAAATTGAAATATGTGTGCGTGTGTGTGCGTGTGTGTGTGTGTGTGTGTGTGTGAAGCAATTAACTAATTAGCAAGAATTTGCCAATGTGAAATTATTATGTGACGATAAGAATTAAGGAAGGCGGCAAATTGTTGCTAGACTCAGATACGTGTATAGACAGACATCAAGCGCTCGATTGTCTACAAGCTATAGACGATGTCTCGCAGCGACAACAACTAGCAACAACAACAACAACAACAACAAGAAGAGCTGCTGCCATGAGGCGGTTCAAGTCAAACCAGTGCACTTAAATATCGCCTCAACAAAACGAAAAGTGACAATTTAATTGCGTCAAACGCAGCATTCGATTGGCAGCGATAACTCGCCAGAGAGCGAGAGAGAGAGAGGATGAGATCTAGAGAGAGAGAGAGCGAGCGAGAGAGAGGGGAAGAGAGACGGAGACAACGCAGGCCAGACAGATCTAGTATATGTATATATGGATGCTGTCTGCGACAGTCTGCCTAGCCAGAGCAACAACAACAACAGCAACAGCAACAACAACAACAGCAACAACAGCAGCAACAACAACAACAACAACAATAAGTGCTTGTTTAATTGAGAAGCGATCATAAAAATGCTTATGGCTTGTTTATACGCCTCACTTTGCAGCAGTTCGAGCTGAGTTTTTCAGCTGTTGTTGTTGCAGTTGTTGCTGTTGCAGTTGTTGCTGTTGCTGTTGTTGTTGTTGGGGGAACAACATTATTTTTGCCGAACGTCGTTTATGCATTGCGTGTAATTTATAACTCAACAACATTTACTTATCTTCTCACTTATTTATTATAAAAACAAATATGCAACGGCATTTATTAACATAAATATTTATTGATATCAAGCGCATATTTCAAAGAATGATTGACTGATTGATGACTGATTGGTCAACCACATGATCACTCAGATCTGGTATTACAAAAGTTTGTCCCAACGCCTGAGAGTCGAACCAACAGGCGAGAGATCGCTGGTTCTAATTCAACAAAAATTGGCATATTTTATTTATGTCTGCTTAATAAGCTTACATAAATATCTTCTCTTTCAATTTGTTATTATGTGTAGGATAGTTTGTATTATTTAATAAATAATATTTTTTAATATTATTATTAAATGGTAATACCTATTATACTATATGAATGCTATATCAGGCGCTTAAATCTATTGTTTTTTTTACTTTTACATTTGTATTATTCATATTTTATATTTTTAAAGGCTATTTTTCTTTATTTTCCAAGCATTTTCTTAATATCGACATGCTTGAACTTGCATCTACTTTGTTTGAAAATTATTTGTATTATTTTGGAAATATTTATAGCTGTTGGATTGTTTTACCCTTGTGGCTATATTTCGCAATGCATGAGTCGTCAAATATTTATTGGCCAATAATTCCAGTTAATATTAAAAGGGCGCAATTGCTGCGCCAATTTGTTGGCCAGTGCTTGGACAGCTCTTGCACTTGAGAGCTGCAATTGTGAGTTGTTGTATTTATTTATTTATATTGTATTTATCGGGCCGACACAAGTTGGCATCATTAAGTGCGCTCGCCATTCTCTATTAGCCGACAAATTCTTGGCCTTCCCTGTCGGCGGCGGCAGCAACACGCGCTCGTTCAGGCGGACACCTCAGAGGGAGGGCAGCAGCGGGGGCCAGGGGGGTGTTTCAGGTGGGCTACAGATAATGCTTGTAGCACAATCTAAATGGCCGTCTCGGGCACACCTTAGAATTCGAGTGTGTTACAATTTGAAGTTGTCGACAATGGCAACGGGTGTTGTTCTTGTTGCTGCCACTGCTGCTGCTGCTGCTGCTGCTGCTGCTGCTGACCAACTGCAGGCAGCAACAGCAGCAAATTGTGAAAGTATCTGAGGCGCTGGCATCCCATGTGCCACACGACGTATGCTTAATTACAAACAAGCAGGGAAACAATGCCAGCAACAGAGGAGCAGAGTCTTTAAAGGCTGCGGCTTGGATGTTGCCTGCCCAGCGCGCTCTTGTGGTTGCTGCTGCTGCTGCTGCCTGTGAAGATTAGTCGCAGTGGGTCGCACATTTCGTTTCGCAATCGATTGCAACATGCAACAGCAACAGCAGCAACAACAACAGCAGCAGCAACAACAACAACAACAACAACAACAGCAGCAATAAATGCAGCAGCAACACACGAAACGAATGTGGCAAGCAAAGTCTGTGTCTGCTCTAAAAAACATTGGAAAACTAGTTTAGGTGGGGACCAATGGATATTCTTTTACTGCATTTTTTTTTTTTGCAACTGCAACTGCAACAGCGACGCGCCGCGGCATTCTAATGGCCGCCCAATATGACTAAGCACACTCATCGCACTCCTGCGTCCAACGTGTATGCAAATCGAAACCAGTTTAAGCGGCAACAACTGCAGCAGCAGCAGCAGCAGCAAAAATATATAGCAAAATATGGGTCGAGATCTGAAAATGCAGCTGATCGAATTTTTGCATTAGGCGCAGCAGCAACAGCGGCAGCAGCGGCGGCGGCAACTGCCATCCGGCCAGCAGCAACTGTGCCCAAGCTGCCTGGCTGCCTGCCTGATTATCTGCCTAGGAAGGCATGCCAGCAACAACAGCAGCAACAACTGCAGCGAAAATCGAATGCTATCTATATCTAACGAAGCAGGGCCATATAGCCAACATTTTGCTATTAGCCAAAGAAATATACAACACACACACACACACACACACGTACATACACATGCGCGCCACAAGAGGCAAGTATCTGTATCTATGGCTTGGTCCAAGCGAACGCAGCAAACGTAACGTATAATCTAAGAGGCACAAAATCAAGAGTGTGGCAGCCCAGGCAGCTGCTGCCTGATGAAATGCATTGTAAGCCGCCGCCGCCGCCGCCAACAACAACAACACGCCTTGGCGCGTACGTGGCGTTGTCGGGGCGGACATTGCCGCTGCTGCTGCTGCTGCTGCTGAGGCCGTCCCGTCGAATCTGCTCGGTGGTGGCCCACAGGCCACTCAACTCGCCATCGTCGTTGTCGTTGAAGAAAAATCTACATTTGTCCAAAATACCACAACTCCGACTGCAACTGCGGCGACTGCGCTGTTGCATAAAAGCAACGCTCCAAATTGCCAACTGAGCGATCCAGTTTAAATTGCAATTGCTCGTTAATGGGCACTAAAACGTGCCGGTGTCGATGTGAATGTGTGTGCCCCATTCGTGCCCCGTTCGGCTCCGCATCGGTTTCTGTTACTGTTACTGTTTCTGTTTCTGTTTGGTTTTATAGCCAGCCGCGTCGTACGCGTCGTATGCGCAACGACAACGAGCCGCAGACAGCGCACAGCACTCATACGCACAGTTGTTGGCCTGCGGCGGCGGTGGCAGCTCTAATGATGGCGAGGCAGTAACACTATTAGCGCTGGCGTCTGGCGTTTATGGCTATTTTATGAACTCTACAAAATTGGAGACTTTTTCAATTATATTCGGGCTGCTTAACATGCATGTTTATGGCAATGCAACTGCTTTATTAACATAATGATAACATAGCAAAGAAATTCTACAGAAGTGGAGACTTTTATAAAATATCAAACTTGCCTCTGTATACATATGCTTGAAGTTTATGTATTAGGTATTTAATTATCTTAAGTGTCTTAAGCGTCGATTGTGGAGACTTTTATCTTTATACACCTCTGGCCCAAGTTTATGACCAAATTGGAGACTCTTATTTATTTATGATACAATAACGAATCAATTCTCTGACAGTGGCGACTTATATAAGGCTTCAAATTGATCTTTACAAATCGACAATTCAAGTTTATAACTAAGCGACTGAGCTATTAACTTAAATTAACATAACAAAGCTGTTCTCTAATAGTGGAGAGTTCTGATAGAAATATATGGCAATACAACTGTTTAATTAACATATAAATAACATAACAGAGCAATTCTCCAAAAGTGGAGTCTTTTAAAAGCTGTTAAGCTGCATTGAGCATTGAATTATATAACTCTCCAATTATGTAGAGTTGCCAAAAATGCTCAAATACTATACATTTTGTACGTGCATTAATCTATTTTACGCAACACAGTCATTTTATAGCTTCATTTATAACTCTACAATATTGTAGAGTTTTTTATGAACTCAACAATTGACATGATTTTCTTACGGTTTACCTTAATAATAATGGCAAACAATGCAGCCCTATAAAAATCATGACCCCAAAGCTAACTGTACCGCATTTGTCGCATCTAAGCGATTGTCGACAATAACTTAGAGCATGACAACATATTTCACAATTACGAAACAATACCGCCCACCACTAAATACAGATACCCGGCAGCTCTTCAGGCTGCACGCCGAACAATAGAACCATATCCGAGGGCCCCCAACTGTCACAGCCAAGGCAGACGAATAGGCGTAGACGCCAGACCAGAATCGAGACGCGACGCGACGCGACGCGATGCGGCCTACTGCGGCGGCATGCCAAGCACACAGATACAGAGACAGCTATAGATACTGATGCAAATGCAGATACAGATGCAAATAGAGCTATGTGGCTGCCAGAATCAAACCAGATCAAAGCCTATGGCAATAATTATGGAAGCACTCGTCGTCAAAATGCGGTTCGTGCCTTAATAAACTCCGCAAGCGGCCGCGTATTGAAAATTTCAATAATAATCAAGCAAAAAGGCAACAACAGCAACAGCAACAACAACAACAACAAGAGCTATTAAATTTTATATATATAATCGTGTGTATATTGGAGAAATAACAACTTTGGATGGATGGCGTTATACGTATTATTGATTTAAACATCAAGATAAATTACATTGGACTCTGCCTAAGACCAAGACGCAGAGCCAGCAGATCGCATTAGAAGGCGTATTACATTTATATATATATATAATACACTAAAAGAAAAACTATTTTAAATTTTAATGAAAAAACTACTTGAGTTGTTAAAATTTAAAGTTCATTTATTTTTAATAATATTAATTTAAGCATAAACGAATTTTGATAAAAAAGTTAATCAGAGAGAAGAATTGCAAACTTGAAATCGAAGACTCAAGTATTCCATCTTAAATAATATTAAATCAAGCATAAGCCAATTTTGATTCAAATATAAATAAATAATTGGCTAGTCTTAAGTGGAAATAATTCAAACAAGAATTTGCAGACTTGAAATAAGCATCAAAAATATTCAAGTCATTATTTCTAAAGCAACTCGTATATAGAAATTTTTTACTTAAAAAACCATTTTGTTTTTGGGCTAAAAAAGTTAGCACAATTCTAAACTGCATATTATAAGGTTTTAAATATTTCTTAAAAGAAGACTTTTGCTCATAGGCTGAGAAAATTCAAGCTTGGCAAACTTAAATTAAGTATAAAATTCTCCTTTAACAAATGTTTAGGTAAAATAGGTTCAAAATGTTTCATGATTAACTTTTAAGTTTTGTCTCAAGCTAAGACATTTCGATCTTGAATTAAGTAGAGAAATGTTGGTGTATGTTTTCTGCGAGTGTATTTTGTCTCACCGCAACAGCTCTTTGAACAGTAACGACTTTTTGGCTGACTGCCGTTGTTG